CGCCCCCCAAGCCTCCAGCTGGGGCTAGCCCTACCCCCATCCTCTTGGCTTCAGATGGGGGTGCTGGGAGCCCTAAGACGCCCTCCTCGCCCAAGCCACAGCTGAAGGTGAGATGGTGACCTTCCTCCCATCCAGATCAGGGGGCTTTTCTTCCCCATCCATCACTCGGTCAGAGTGGGGATCATGAGTCTAGGCTTGCCCCTTAGGTAGGTTTGGTGTGTGATCCCCTGAAAGCAAGCCCCCGGCATGTGCTCGTTAGATGGTGGCTCTGCTCGTACTCTGCCTGCCCCATGTGTTAGAGAAGAGGCAGGATGTTGTGTGGTCAGAGCAAATAGGAAGGCAACCATGAAGGAAAATAATTCGGTGTGTTTGTTTAGAGAGAAGCTGGGGCGCTGATGCCAAACAGGAGCAGAGCTGATTTTTGCTCCATGGCTAGGCTGCTGGCGGAGATCGGTGCTGTGTTCCTCCTCTAGGAGGGTGTGGGGTAGGACAAACCCTAGGGCTACCCTGTCTGCTCAGTCCCAGCTGTTGGGATGCTATATCCCTTCCCTTTCTGGGACCCTCACGTATCTCATTTTGTGCCCCCTCTCCAGTCTTCCTGCAAAGAGAACCCCTTCAACCGGAAGCCATCACCTGCTGCCTCCCCCTCTGCAAAGAAACCTCCCAAGGGCTCCAAGCCAGTGCGTCCTCCTGCCCCGGGTCATGGCTTCCCGCTGATCAAACGCAAGGTAAAAGGGCCCTTGGGAGTAGGGGGGCAAAAGCCAGTGCTGTACTATCGCCCGGGCCCATAGCTGTGTGCATGCACCCTGCTGATGTGTGTGGGGGTAGGGATTGCAGCGGGTGGCTGTGGCTGGGGAGGGCGGTGTCTAGGCTGAGACCCCATTGATGGCAGTGCCATGGTCTGCCTTTGCTCCAGAGTGGGGTGGGGATTTTGGATCCACGCTTAAGTGGAGTGGTCTGTTGTCCGCCCGCCCCCGTTAGTGTTGACCAGCCTTAGCATTACCCCTGGAAACTGGAGGTTGATGGTAATGGAAGTCTCTGCCTTGTGGTTTGGCAGGTGCAGACAGATCAGTACATCCCCGAGGAAGACATCTATGGGGAGATGGATGCCATCGAGCACCAGCTGGATCAGCTGGAGCACCGTGGGGTGGCCTTGGAGGAAAAACTTCGCAGCGCTGAGAATGGTATGTGGGGTGGGCTGTCTGTGGGTGTGGGTCAGGACGGGACTCTAGGGCTGCC